CTTCGGATAGTTATCGATCGCCGTCTGCATCGTGTAGTTGTTCAGCTCGTGTGTCAGGATGATCGTGCCGATCTGCATGCAGGCCGTGTCAGCCGTCAGGCCGTACCCACAGAGGAGGAGGCACGCACACTATCAAATGCCCCCGCGCTCGCATTCGCCATGAGCGCGTCGTAGTTCGCCTGCACCATATCCGCCGTGACGCCGTTCTCGCCCACCTCCCAGTCGTTGGCGTCGTACTTCCAGATGATGGTCTCCAGCCCGAGCTGTGAGGCGATGTACCGGATGCGGTCGTCGACATCGCCAAAGGGGGGCTGCGGGTGGGGTCAGTATGCCGCGAAGGAAGGAGGAGAAGCAGGGAGCAAGAGGGAGAGTAAGGAGGGAGGAGGAAAACGTCGAGGGATTCATGGACCGCAAAGTTCCGGCACCCAAAAGCCAGGATCAGCGAGGAAGGATGGACCAGCACAATGTGCAGGGGCTCGGGCGGGCGCAAGGAGACTGACAGGCTCTGAAGCTATGAACCACGCGAAGGACTTCGTCCTCCGCCCGCGCAGCGAACGCAGATCCACAGTAACAACGCAGAGCGCCTCGACCATAACGTGCGCGGGTGCACCTGCAAAGAAATGGGAGACGCCCCCAGCACCCTCCGCCCGGCTCCACTGCGGGCCCTGCGTCTAACCCGCGAGCGCGCGTCCGCTCTCGTATCTCTCCCCTCCCAAAGGACCCGACGCGAAACGAAAACCCCACGTACCCGCCAACACGTCGGCGTGAACCCCGTCACGAGCTTGATCGCCTCCATCGTGTAGTACAGCTCGCCGAACGCGCCCTCGTTCGAGAAGGCCGTCATGTAGCGGTGAGACCAGGTGTCTGCGGGCAGGAAAGAGTCAGCGAGCGCGTTGGAAGGAGGAGGGAAGAGGAAGAAGAAAGAAGAGCGATGAACGACCGCGCCCCATCCCGACGTCAAGCCTCGGGCAGTCAGGTCTACCTCCAGTCAAGGACTCGTGCATCTGCATCCTCCGGGCAGCGGAGGCGCAGACCTCCGCGCACCCCCGTCGCGCACCGACTTGCAGAAACAGCATCCCGACGGTGAGGGAAGGGCCATCGTCCACTCGCCCGACCTCGCGCACTCCGCATCCCAGTTGCGCGCAAGGCGCTGCCTGCGTCAGCGCACCACTGACGGCCCATAGTTCCCGCGAAGAGCACGGGCGCGCCCGCTCCCTCGCCGCGAGGACACGGAGCCTACAGAGCGCGCCGCGCGCGTCCCCTTCCACGCCCATCTGAGCCTCGCCTCCAGCCCCGCAGACGCGCGGCCCATCGTTCGCGCAGCACCAATCGCCGATCGCCGTCCACCGACGCACACCATCCCCGTCCACTCGCCCGCGCTTCCCCTCCGCCTCTCTTCCGCCTCCCTCCCTTCTCCCTCCTCTACCTCCCCTCTCCCAAATCCAAAACAAGGACGAGCATCATACTCACGCACGCAAATCTCGTGCCCGTCCGCCACCGCGCGCTGCGCCTGGAGCGGCCAGTCGAGCACGTTCGACCCGATGAAGAACATCGCTGCGAAGTCAGTTAGCGTTCGTTCGTGGTAGGCAAAAGGGGGAGGTAAAAGGGAAGGCACGGGGAGGGGTAGGGGAGGAGGAAGGGAGGGCACGTAGAAGGATGGGTGGAGGGGAGGAGGGAGGGAGGGAGGGCGCAGCGCGAATGGCGGGAGAGGGAGGTGCGGAGAGGCAAAGGAGGGTGCACGGAAAGACAAGGGAACGGAAGGGAGGGAGACAAGCGCGACGCGGGGTTTGGCAGGGGCGGGAAAGGGGATGGAGGGTGGACAAAAAGCTACGGAAAGACAGAGGAAATGGAAGGGAAGGGAGGAGGGGGGTGCGGGGGTGTGGGAGGAAAGAAGAGATAGCTCGAAGGCTGGAAAAGGGGTGGAGAGTGGAGGCGCAGCACGGACTAGGGTCTTTGGCGGAGGAGGGAAAGGAGATGGGGAGTGGGGTGAGGGAACGGGGGGACGATGGACGCAGACGCAGCGGGAGAGGAGGAGAAGGAGGAGATGGGCAGTACGCCGGCGAGAGGAGGAGGATGGGAAGTGGGGTCGAAGGGGTAGTGTATGAATGGACGGGCTGCACCCCCCAGAATGCAAGGGACGAGAACGCGAGAATACGGAGAGAACGAGGGGCGCGGGTGTGGGGGAGCAGAAGGAGCGCCGCGTCGGCGGGAATGGGAGAAGGAAAAGGGCAGGAGGGCAGGAGCGAGGCGCAGACGAAAACCGCGCCGAAGACGGGGGGATCGAATCGCGGAGACATAACGAGCCAGCACGCACTAGCTTTCTGCTTCTGCTCCGTCAGATAGTCGTAGAACGCGTTGTGCGAGCAGTTGGGCCCGTCGTCGAAGCCGTAGCCGAGGGTGCGGGGCTGGGGAGGGAGGTTAGCGTGGTGAAGGGGGTGGGGAGGGGAGGGAGGAGGAGGAAAGGGGGAAAGGAATAAGAGGCACAAGACAGGGAAAGAGGAGTGATAGCGAAACTGACAACGGGGACCGCAGCCGATGGGTCGATGTACAGGGACGACGCTCGGCGCGCGCTCTCGTCGCGACACGGCTCTCCCGTAAGCCAGCCACCGCGCGCCCGCACCTCCCCGCCGCAGGGACATCGATCCCAATCGCACGCACCTGCGACACCTGCGCGCGCGCTCCCTCACACCCACGCTCAAGCCCACGTCCCACGGATGAAGGCCAGCGCGGAGATGCGGCGTCCCGACGTTGTCCCGAGCGCTGTGCCGAAGCGGGTACCGGAGGCCCACGATCGTAAGAGACTCGCCGGCCCGCGCCACGACTAGGTAAGGAAACGAAGTGGCCACTCTAACTTTCCAGAGGACGCAACGCGCAAAGGAATGAGGAATGAGTACAGGAGATAGGGGCCACTAGAGCGCGCGTCGATGGGCGGTACCCGCTTCGGCAAAAAGACATACAAGGGGAAGGAGGAGAATTGGATGTGCATGCGCATGTTGCCCGCGGGGCCTGGGGTGCACGAAAGAAGAGATAGTAGATCGAGGACTCCGAGAGACGGGTGGACGTGCCGCGGGGGCGAGCTGAACGCGGCACGGGAAAGAATCCGGGCGCGGGTGCGCCGTTACTGCGCGCCCGAAGGGAAGACTCTGGGACGGGGGCAATGATCGAGGGGCAGGCACACCCCCTGCATCGCAGAAGAACAGAGCAAGGAAGAGAAATAAAACCTCATGCCACCAACAAAAGGAAACGCCCGAAGCCGAGAGAGCGAAGAGAACGAGGGGAAACGAGAAACAAGTAGGAAGGAACGAGGAGAAACGAGTAAAAGCAGAAGCACAACACACTTCAGGTACACTTGCCACGTCCTTGTCGAGCCCGCTGAGCTTGGGCGTGACGCACTGGTGGTACGTCCACCAGCAGTCGGGGTCACTCGTGTTGTATGTCGGCGTGAAGCTGGAGAAGTCGCCCGCGAGGGTGCCCTTTCCTCACTTCAACTCGAGCTCGATAAAGAGGAAAGGAGGCAACCCACCTTAGGCGCGATATTCGGGATGCTCGCATTCATAGCGAGGAACTTCGCACGGCCGACGGTGTCGTTCGTCGGGACACTCGAGACGGGTTGCCAGATCGTCGGGAAGGACGCCTTGGCGGCGGTCACTGGCGCGTACGAGTATGCCGTGCATTCTACCGATGGGTCTACACATCCCAATAGAAAATGCCACTGAGCCTCGCTCAAAACATGGAAAAAGGGAACGCACCGGAAATCACCGCCTCCTCCGCCTCCGTCGTGCGGTCCTGCGCATGGACGTGCGCGCCACCGCCCAATAGCAGCAGCAGTGCAAGCCTCTGTGTACACGAACCCCGTATACGCATTATCGCAGTTAATCTTCAGGGAAAGTGGGAAACGAGCGGATGGATGGGTGGATGAAGGAGAAGAGAGAAAGAAGGAGCTTCAGCGGGTCATCCATTTGTCGTGCGCGGAGCCGGCCAGGGGAATTCAAAAAAAGTTATTTTGGATGCAAGCAGGAGAGAGAGCTATGAATAGCACACGTGCCGCTCGGCCGCTTGATCGTTGATCAGATCATAAATCGCATCAATCACGCTTCATCATCAACGCGTCTCCTGCCTCAGCGTCTCCTTCACTCTCCTTCACCGTCCTTTATCTTCCCTCAGGCATCGATGAGATGCGCAGACGAGCGCGACGAGGACGATAAAACGGCCTCGCAGCACCCGCAGCCATGTAACCACGAATTCGAAATTCCCTCGCCAGGACGACGTCCTAGGCGTTAGAATTTCTAAGCATGGTACAGACTAACCTGTTTCAAATTTAAGAAGCCCCGCCACCATAAGCTCGCCACAGATCTACCAAGGTCGCGCAAGCTACAGTCCACCGCTACGTAGCTTTTGTTAAATTATGCGAGCTTGGAGAGCACTGTGAATTTCGAAAAAAGAAATTGGGAGGAAGGGCTCTGACCTAGCCCGGACCTCCCACCAAATGATTGACTGGCTGATTTATTCAAAATAAATTGCAGATGTGATTCCTTTCTCCGCTAGGTCTCCTTCCTACCTCGCAACCCCTAGATTCATCCCAGACTTTTTCTGCCATCTTCGAGCAAGGGATAAAAAACATTGAAATTCTCACTACATGACCTAGCCCGGAGTCGATCCAGGAACTCCCACTGACTCCAACGTCAGCACAAGCCATAGATTGTGGGTGTGGTTCCGTTCACTACTAGGTCTCCTTCCTACCTCCCAACACCTGTACTTACCCCAGACATTTGCTGAATCTTCCGAGCAAGGGCAAAAAGGTCCGCCAAACAAGAGCTATGACCTAGCCCGGAGTCGAACCAGGAACCCCCACTGACTACGAAATGATCCTGCACGATAAACCATAGATTGTGGGTGTGATGTCCTTCACCACCAGGTCTTCCTCACCCCTCTCAGTACTTGTATTTATCCCAGACTTTCTGCTCTGAGCAAGGGATAAAAAGCTGATGCTCGCCCACGTATGACCTAGCCCGGAATCGAACCGGGAACTCCTGCCAAATCACCCAAGTTGCCCACGTCACTGATTTCAGGTGTGATCCTTTCACCACTAGGTCTCCCCCATCCCTCTCAGTGCCTCCATGACCGCCGACTTTTTCTGGGCTCTCGGAGCAAGAATGAAAACGATGCATGCTCACGCGTTCATGACCTAGCCCGGAATCGAGCCGGGACCGCCCACTGAATTCAGAATCTATCCAGAAGAGGAATGGATCGTGGGTGTGATTACTTCACCACCAGGTCTCCTTTCTCCTTCTCGACACTTGGATTCGTGCTGGACTTTTGTTGCTTCTCTGAGAAAGTACCATAAAAAAGCTGCAAGGCCATCGTACGACCTAGCCCGGAGTCGAACCCGGGCCTCCTGCAGATGCCAACACGCAAGCAACGTATAGGGCGCAGGAGTGTTTCCCTTCACCACTAGGTCTCCTTTCCACCCCTCAGGCGCTCTATTTATACAAGAATTTGTCTGCTCCACCATAAAAATTGTCAAGCAACGACGTCACGACGTAGCCCGGACTCGAACCGGGACCTCCTGCATAGGCAGTGTTCTGGAGACTGACTGGATGACAGAATACAGGTGTGTTTCCTTTCACCACTAGGTATCGCTTCTCCTGCTCCGTAACTGTATTCATCCCAGACTTTTTCTGCTCTCTTCGAGCAAGAAATAAAAAGGCTCATCAAGACCGCATGACCCAGCCCGGAGTCGAGCCGGGAGCTCCTGCATAGACAGCATTCGAAGTCTGGGATGACAGACCACAGGTATGATTTATTCAGTCATTCACCACTAGGTCTTCCTTCTACCGTGCAAGACTAGTTGTTCTACTTCTTTTTTTGTAACTTAGGATGCAGAAATTGTGCTGCGCGGGCCCGCTCGACACTGGACGCGGCGCGCGCGGCGAGGGGCACTGCTGAACCTCCGCTCACACACGAGGTTAACGTGGTGGCTTTTCACGGCTGCTGCAGGCGATGGCGCGATCCTGGACGTGCGCACGGGGCGCGGCGCTGGTGCGGGGGCGGCCGCGGACATTGATGGTAGAAAGGAGCCTAGAGTAGGCCTATGTAGGGTAGAAATACGAACATCTCAAGGTGACATTCGGGAAGAAACTGAAAAGGTAGTACGGCCAAACTATTACCCTTTAATGGCCTCGCGAATGGCCTGTCTGTGTTCTGTGAGCTGTTGCCCACCGCCGAAGGCCTTATTGGGGTGGTACCCGTCGCAATACGCCCTCAGTTCCGGATAAAGTTGTTGATAGCCGTTACATCCATGAGAGGCGTAGGCGTCTGCAGTGAATGACGAATCAGATGAGTATGTATCATCAGTAAGATTTGGGCTCACATTAGCGTTTGCTGACGGGAGTGTGCCATCAGGGAAAGGGACAGGTACGAAAGGTACTGGCCTGCCATCGCCCAAGGCCCGATTTTAGTTCTATAGGATAGGATCGTTTGTAAAAAAGGGGTAAAGCAGTTCAACTCGACTGACTATTGCGGTAAAAATAGCGACTCCGTCGATCTTAGCGTCAACCCCATCGAGACACGTCTCGATAGCGTCGAGACGGGTGTCGATGGCGTCGAGACGGGTTTCGATGACGTCGAGAAGGGTGATGATAGGTTGGAGGGCCGCATGAATGGCTGCAAAAAAAACACGGCGACGCAGTGGCTGACAATTGTGATGAGGAAAATTCAATGTGGTTGAAGGTAAACGACACACCACCACCAGATGCGGCAGCGAGAAGTGAGTCAGCATACACGAGGGCGCCGACCGTTGTGCGGTCATCGATTTGATTGGGGTGTTCTTCTGCAACGACGTTAGAGGGTGGCGTGGTGGTGGGGGGGGAGTCGTGTGGGTCGCGCGCGCGTGATTGGTCCGGTCACACGGCATCTCCCGATCATTGAAATTCAAACTCTTCAAAAACTCTTGCAATTAACTTGTCCTCTTCAACGCGTCAGCTGTAGATCTCAGAGGCCACAAGGATCAATTTAAGGTGCCCGTCCACAACCTTTCCACCATGTGTGTATCTGCCTTCCCGCTCAATTGGACTCCTTGGAGCCCGACATTGGTAGCTATCTTGCCTACAACTGAACGCCCCGGGGTCAACTTTAGCTTGAATTTCTCACTTATATCTCTCCTTCAAAGCTCGCTGTTCGTGGCTCGGTTTGCACGCCTCCACCGACCCCATCTTCCTCGGAATCGTCATTTGTCCTGCAATTAGACCTCCTTCCTTTCTCGCGGACAAACCGGCCATTCACGGCCAGAATCGTGGTCGGCGTCGAGCCTGCCGAATTCTCAGACTTTCGCGAAATCATCACCGGCCAGCCGCTCGACAACGAGAGGATCATGGGTATGCCCGGTATGGTGCAGATAAACACGTTCGCGCCGTCCACCGCAGAGATGTCGCCGATGTGTGGCGGACTACGACAAATTCCGTAAATAACGTGGCGGCTTCGAAAGGCGCGCGGATGCTTGGTGGGGATCGTGGAGCTCGCCAGCGATGGCCAGCTCAGCGTGAGCTCCGTAATAATAGCGCCGTTAACGTTGTCGCGTGTCCGGTCACCGGGAAGGTGCAGGAGGTAATCTAAATAGTGATGAGCGAACGAAGATGATACGTAATGGGTAATACCTGTTGTTCCGTGGACCCAGTCACTAACTTCGAGAAGGATGAGATTGCGTGATTTAAAAGGGTGCAGCAATAGCGAGGCTGGAGAGTAAAGCTCAGGACGAAATGCCAGGTCATGTATGCAGGATGTGTTTGGTATTGCAATAAGCTCCATTCGTCTGACGGATTTTGGGGGATGGACGTCCTGTAACGTAGTACGAGGCAGTGCGAGCCACATGTGGCTTCACCCTGGCGTTAGAGCGACGACTACGTACGACTCAGATCCCCCGGCAACCTTCAGGTTCCTGTAGTCGGCACAAGTGAATCGAGGCGGTATTCCATCAGTAGGAAGGATCTGGAATTCTGCTTTGCAGGTTATCCTCATTCCAAGCTGGGTCGGCCAGGTCTGCCTCTCCCTGGGTAGTAGCCTCTCGACGTCGGAGCTAGTGAGACTGCATGAACAGACCAGAATGCTTGCAGAGATGGAGCAGAGATGGAGGTTCGTAGTGTCGGCCGGGATCATCGTCCGATCAAGCGTGATCTTTACATAATCGGCCGACTCATGCCGACCTAATGCCGACCTCCGAGTCAAACCTCACTTCGAATTTGTTCTTAAGTCCCTCAGCTTCGCCACCCGGCCCACTTGGTCACCGCTTCAAACCACCCCGGAATTCCAGCTCTGGCCAAGCAAGGTCTCTCAGACAGCACCACCGGACCGGAAAGCTGTATTCACAATGTATTGAGTCATTGTATTCATCCCTGGAAGTCGTGGACCGTCGCGTTCGAATCCTCATTTCCTCAAAAATCAACATCTAGATATCGCTGCATCGTTTTACCTTTTCTTAGTACCGTACCACGAGGTGCCCATTTCCATACCACAGATTTGATGCCCCAAATGCATAGCCTCATGCGTTTACCGATGGCGGCAGGGCCCGCATCTTCACTGTGCAGCGCAGTCGCATCGATGAAACCTCCTCCAGGTGATGGACTACTAATTATGGCTAGAAATTATGTGTCATCTCTGTTATGTCTGCGCTCTCCAGGTCCAACACTACAGTATGCACCTACCGATTCACGCAATGATCACTATGCTCCCATCACGATGTTTATCCCATCTGAGATCTCCCCGCATATCTTCTACCCACGACGAGGATGTATCCGTCTACTGTCTCGCATCCTCTCAGCTACCGATATCAAGCCCAGGAGACGCGTTGATTGTGGTTCAAAGATGGTCTGACACATTTGGAGTCCTACTGGCCGTATTCCGATTAGTCCACAAGAATTGGGTTAAGCAAGGCGACCGATATCAAGCGGATCAGGTAAGCAATGGAATATAAGTACTCAGCTCACTCAGAATATCCTGCATTCCAACTCCTTTTTTCCTTCTCGACCTGGTGTCCTCCACTTGACGTGATTATCTTCTTTCAGCCCCTTCGCCCATTTCTTCCATGGCCCGCATCATCCTATCTCTCGTTTCTCTTCTGTGCTTGTTCCAGGCTTTGGCTGGTATGCTATAATTACTCATCCGCCATCTGTATGCTGAGATACCTGTCCCAGCGCCCCTCAACCAACGCGCCGTCGCGTCGAATCCCGACTGCAATAAAGCCAACGGCCAACTCGGCGGAGGCCTCCTCTCAGCGCGCGTATTTTTGGCCTCCATCAATGCCGTGTATGTTTTCTTCCGATTTCGGCGCTCCCGCCTCTAATCATGTCGCAGGAACGATGTCGTCGACCCCCTGCCCTTCCTGACCGCGCAGATTGCCCTCCTCAATGTGTCGACCGTGTCGAACAAGCTCGCGCTGAGCCTCCTAAGTAACGAGCCGCCCACCCCCGACAACACGCAGGCGCTCATTCTCAGCGGGCTCAAAGCCGCAGAGACGGTGCTCTCCGGCGTGGCCTTGTAAGTCGCGCGCGCGCCATTGCGATGCCAGACTAAATCATGTACGCGCCCAGGGTCAACACACAGAGTAACGGTACGGCAGCGGTGAACCTCGCAAGGGCGAACTCGTTCCTCGCGGAGGCCATAGTCAATGCGCAGCAGGCCGTCGATCTCAACTGCACCACGGTCGCGGTGGCACCCACTGCGGTTACGGCAGTCGAAGGTGCTACCTCCACACGTGTGTTCGGCACGCCGTATGACACCCGGTGATTTTTTGACTGGTGCCTCGGGTTTTCGGATGAGGGTGAAGCTGTGGAGCATATTTCTTTGAGCAGATCGCAGATGTTGCTTATATATAATATTATTATAATATATGTAGCTGCAATACACCGAGAGTCGCGTGAAACGGCCCCGGAAGACTTCATCCAAAACTTGGGGACAGACATACCTATACAATATGGGACTTGGATCTCTATTCACGTTCATGTTCGGCAGCTCGCGATAGCTGGTCGTTTTTTGGTTGTTTTCGCTCAGGAACTTGACTTGGAATAATTGAAGAATGAATGACGATTTCGTGTGGCAATAATTGGGATCACAGGGAAGTCAACAGGAAAGGCAAGTAAACATGAAGAAGTGCTCAATGTTAGACGTTGAGCGTTGAACGGTTCAAGTTGGTCAGGGCCGATGGTCCGAGTAGGTCCGAAGCGGCAAATTTCGGTCCGAGCTGTTCCGAATCGCGTGGCTTCCGTGACTCTTCGCCAACTCTTCCGAGCTGGCGGGCTTTCCTTCCTTCCTCCAGCTTCCAAGCCACAGCGCCTCTCGAGCCACGAGACGGAGTATCGAGTGAACAAATAAGTCTCACTGTGAAGACTGCTTTGCCACAGGACCAGGACCAGCGCTTCGGCCAACATCATGACTGAAATCGGTCTTGCCTGTGCGTCTGTTGAACTC